ATTATTATTTCATAAGTCAAATGTTTTTTGATGACTATCAGACAAGTAGAAAGCACATAAATTTCAAATAAAAAGTTGAATAAATTTTATTTCATGAAAAAAAGCTAACTGTACTGACCTAATTTCACTATAGACCATGAAAATGCTTTCATGGACCAGCGTTTGGAATTCATTGAACTAGATAACAAATGTCCCTCCCCACTCCGGATGCCCCAGGTGATTGTGATAAGCAATGTTTTTCCTATCCACTCATGCAGTGCAATGGATTCTGTTTAACCTAAGGCCCTGATTTTATATTTGCCCTTATTAAATTTCAGCTTATGAGTTTTCAAACATTAGTGCAAATTATCAATATACTTTAGAACCTTGAACTCTGTCTATATTTTATTTTTGTGCCATATGCAAATATAAAATATTTACTTTTAAAATATGTTTCAAGTCACTTGTTAAAAAGGAATAAGGGTCTTTATCCTTCAACCTGGTTGAATTCAAACAGCTATAGTACTCCAGCAATGTTATGATCCAGATCACATTTCGCTCCTTTATGTAAAAGACATATCCATGGGAGGGTCTCAAGATTGGGCGTTGAAAGTCTTGTAGATCAACTTCCCACCCAAGGCTCGTAGTCTCTATACAATAGCTTGCGCAAATGGCCACTCTTTATGTGTTTAAATGTCTGTGGCTTTGAGAAATTCCAAATCCCTCCTTCTTAACAAAGTCCAATCCCTTTCTGGATAGCTCTGTTCAAAAACTCACTCTATATGGAGAAGAAATTTGTATCCTTCCAGCTCCTGCTCATAGGTTGTAGTTCTGCCCCTCAGGGGCCTTTAGAACAAGTCTTTCACATCATAGTCCTTTAAAAATTTGATAACAGTGGTCATGTTTATCCAAACCTTACCTTTTCCTGGCTAAAAATTCCCTGTGTCTTTTGTGAGATTTTCACATGACATGGTTTCAAGTCATGTCACTATGCCAGATATCGTCTGCTAAATACGCTCCAAGTGACAATTATTTTTTAAAATGTGATACTTGTAACTGGGTAAAGCATTATAGTTGTAGTCCTTTAGGCCCAGTAAGAGCCAGGATGATCCAATTCACTGAAACCACGTGACCGCAACCATATTTAACAAACAGGAATGCAGTTTAAGTGCCGCCCTTTCAGCTCCTCCTGACCCCGTGTTTTCTCAACCTGACTCACTCCAGAATCAATCCAGCAATTTTTTAGTTGAATGGGTTTTATTTAGAAATTAATAAAATATCTATTTCCTAAAAGAAATAAAACAGAATGTAAAAGTATTCCTCCTTGTTCTTCATCCCAAATCTCAAATCTTGGAAGTAACCACTATTAAAATTCTCATGGGAACATTTTTGAAAATCTTTTTATAACTACATCAACATATGGGTCAGTCTGTTTCCTTTTTTTCACATAAATGGGAATAATATGCACGCTCATCTGAAATTTGCCTTTTCACTTATTATGAGTATCTCTTCCACACCAAAACATGCATTGAGCCAATTTACTGCTTTAAACAGCTTCCAACAGTCTCTGCTAACAGACATTCAGGTTGGTTGGAGCTTTTGCCATTACAGATAAAGCTGCATAAAAACCATACTCATAGACTTTTGTGCTTGTGCACATATGTATTTGTAGCATAAATTGCTGGAAGTGGAATTAGTGGACCCAAATACGCATGCATGTTTTATTTCAATATATATTGCCAAAGTGGAACTTACACACATGTGCACACACACATGTGCACACACACACATACACACACAATTAGGTCGCACTCCAGATGTACTAATTCTGAATTTCAGGATGTACTATATAAAAAATATACGGTTTAAAAAATAATTTTGAAGTGCAGAAAAGGTTGAGAGTAAGATTTAGAACTCATTCTTTGATGAAAAAATGTAAAATCATATTAGTTTTTCTGACAGTTATATTACACTGTTGATTTACATTGAAATGACTATCAACTAAAACCCGTGAGCCTTTTGGGACGTAATTTTTGCTAAGCCATATTTCTTCTATTCCCTATTTTGGAGTTTGTTTTATAGTGCCCAGTATAAATGGTTTAATATTTATGCCTATTATATTTCATCTGGATATGGAGATTTAGTCCATATTCTAGAATATCCAAATTCTTTGTGATTGGATTCTTTCAGCTAATATATTTCCTTTATCCTCTTAGTTTTAACTGAAAACTTTAAGAACATTATTCTGTAATTTTGTCCAAATCACTAGTAAAACACTGAGATGAGCTGGGTCAAGGGCAGGTCACTGCAAACCTCCAGTAGAGGTCTCACCCTTGGTTAGCAACTGTACATTAATCAGCCATTTTAAGGATTTTTTTATTATCAGTTACAACTCAAACCAATTATACTATACTTATTTTTTCATGTTGTCAAAAAGAAGACACATCAGATAAATATATTTGGTGAAATTGCTAGGACTTGTTAATGGATTAGACAGGAAAAACAGCTATTAGCTATCATTAGAATATAAGCTGCACGAAGGCAAGGATTTTTGCCTATTTGTTTTCTTTACTATTTTCTCTCCAGATGCATAAACAATGCCTGCCACATAGTATATGGTCAATAAATATTTACTGAATGAAGAATGGAAAACCTCCAGGTTTTTCCCCGGAGCAGGTAGATGAATGGCCACGCCATTAACTAAAATCAGTTAAGACTGATGAAGAAGCAGAATGAGATGTGGCCAGAACAATCAGAGCTTCCATTTTGGTCATTATAACCCTTAGATTTCTTCTAAATATCAAGACGAAAATGTGAGAGGGCAAACTAGATATTTGAGTCTCGTCTTAGAGGAGAGCTCTGGCCTGGAGAGAAAAATCTAGAGGCCATCAGCATGTAGCCATGGAATTTATTGTAATAAATAATAAAATATTAGAGTCCCTGAAGGACAGAAGAAAAATCTGACCATGGAGATATATAAAATATGTTTATAATGGAAAGATTCCATATCTTAAAGCAGCCATTATTCCCTAAAGTAATCTAAAATTCAAAACATTTTAACAATTTCAATAAAAATTCTAACATGTGTTTTCATGGAACTTGATAAGTTGATTCTGAAAGTTATACGCAAGAGCAAAAGGTAAGAACAACAATAATTTAAAGAAAAAAACAAAGGTGGCCAATTTGCCTAGAAGATATCAAGATTTAGTATAAAACTATAGTTAAGACATTGCAGTAGTGTTGGAGAGGTAAAGAAATAAAGCAGTGGAAGAAAATGGAGAGCTCAGAAACTTGTATACCTTGAAATGTATTTCAATTCTTCTATCAATCTATATTTACATATGGAATAGCAGTAAAAAAATTATAAACATTTGATATGCATGCATTATATAAAATGTATTATATATGTCTGCATGTATTATATATGTGTATAGTATATACACATTTGTGCACACAACTACATATAAAACAATGTAAACATTTAAAAAGTGTGTGTGTGTGTGAAACAGTGGTAGCATTTCACATTAATTGGGAAAGGATCAACTATTTAATACATAATGGTATCTTAATGGTTAGCATTGCAAAAAAAAATACATCCTTGCCTCATGTTAGACATAAAAATAAATTTTAGATGAAATAAAGATCTAAATGTTAAATAATAATACTTCAATTTTTTAAAAGAAAACATGAGAACTCATAACATTTTTGTTGGAAAGATTTCTTAACAAGGTGCAAACCAACAAACCATGGCACAGCGTAGGTGCTCAAACATCTATTAAAGGAATTAAAAATGGATCATATGTTTACATTAAAGATCTTAAAATCCTCTATGATTAAAATATTATTTTAAAAGTTAAAAGAAAAGCCATAGTCAACAGAAAATATTTTTAACAAACCTGAGCATTGCAATAAAAAAAGACAGTCCAATTAAAAATTGGCAAAGGATTGAAGCAATTCACGGAATTAGAGAGCCAAATGGTCAATAAATATGTGAACAAAAAATGCTCTCTTTAGTAATCAGAAAATTATCAATTAAAACCAATGAGATATATTTAATACTCTTCAGATTCAAAAGGCTTTTTAAAAAATGACAGCATCAAGTGGAAAAATGAGAATTCTCATAGAGTGTTGAGGGGAGTAATAAGTGACTTAGCCACTTTAGAGACCTAAGCGCAGAATTCTGCTCCCTGTGGGATCTCCTAGAAAACTGACATCACTTGTGAGATCGCAGTTGCAAGTCCTCTAGACTGCAGTTCTCCAGTCAGCTTTTCCTTGTTAATCATCGTTAAGTCCAAAGAAGCAGGCTCCCTGACTGTTTCCTCCGTGTTCCTAGAGACGAAATTGCCAGCAAGGCAAATCAAGCATTTAACACACACTCTACATTTAGTAAAACGAGAATCTCAGCAGATGTCCAGAGACTCAAAGTCTCTAATCATTGTTATATTTCACATCCTTACAACATTTGTGGTCTTTTTTAGGAAGTAATTATCCATATTATTTCTTGCTTATTCTAAGACAAGGTGTTTAAGATTGCCCTTATGTGAATCCTGATTGACTGCTTCAGGACCACTAGTTATCTAGAGATGATTCCCTGAAAATGTGTTGCTCTTCAGATTTAAAAGAACTGAATTGCAGACAAGAAAACACCTCTTGGCTTTTTTCAAACTTGTGCCTTCTTTTGATAAAGGGAAAAAGCAAGTCACTCTTTTCGTACTATTTGAGATTTCACAATAAACACTGACTAAAAATAAATAAAATCTGTTGGGCAAAGCACTGTCTTGATTTCAAACTATATCCTTCTCTCACAAGATTCTGGTATGGTCCCTAAGGGAATGTTACAAGAACCAGGTGCTAAGTAAAGAACTAGGTTCTTAGCAAAGAGTAAACCATGACCTTAGGATGAGTCATCTTCTGTGTTTAAAATAAATATTTTAATATCTTCCCATATGTATAAAAGTCTGAAGTAATATGTAATTTTTATAGCTGGCTTAATAAAAGAGACAGTAACTTAGTTATCATACCTGTGGACACAAGGTTTCCAGGTGATTGGCTGCGATTTTGACAATTTTAATCCCATCTTCATTTGCTGACATGGAACAAGCAAGATTTGCCACCTTCAATACAACCCAAAATAATGGAAATTACTCGGATTATCAAGGAAATTCAGAAACATTTGTTATCCTAGATAAGTAAGAGTATGTACATATTCATTGAAAATCTCAGTGACAAACAACAGTATTTTCATAAATGGCACTGGTATCTATTTTATGGAAGTATTCAGAGACTCTATTAAAACAAATAACAACAAAGGACTCTAGAAAATTGTTCAAAACAAAAAGGAAGATTGGTGAGTGGGTCAGTAAACCCTATACAATCTCTTGCTATCAAAATCTAATCCATAATAAGATGCTAACTATTATGGTTTTCTATGAGACTGAAAGAAGTTTATCAGTGGATTGAATGCTAATAGGTTCTTGGAATCTCATATAATTATGGTTTATTTTAAGTTTGTAATTGGTTTATTATTTTCCAGAGGTCTATTACGCATACTTAAGTTGTATTTAGCATGACTGTATCTTAATTCATGTTTTATTCAGAATCAGATATACTACAAAGCTGGACAAATACAAGATAATTAAATTCTTCCTCCTGCTCTTGATTTTCTGCTACAACTTCATGGCACTCTTTGACATCCCAGCAGTTGATTTGATTCAATCATTAGCAACACCTAAATTCCTTTATACATTACTGCTTTTGAAACGTATACTCTTTTCTAGTGAAACGGGGGCTCTTTTAAATAATTACCTTTATGTCCATTACCTAAGTCCGATATTTACAAATATTTTCTTTATACCAAGAAAGAGCCGTGAGAAAGAGCATAGGATTCCTTTCTCTTTCTTTGAACCTCCCTCATTCAACATCCCTCTTGCTAGCAGGTGAGTGTGTACAAAGCAGTGTTTACTCCAATCTACAAAATATGTCATTGTCTTCATCTCTGTAAGAAGATCACTTTTCTAACAATCATTTTTCTAACTTTTCTCCCTTAGTTGTTATATACTTTAACATATTGTATGTTTTACTGCTCTAATTCAAAATGCATTGAAGAGAAACTGTACATTAGCTGCACGCAATGGAAGTGAACAACAAACATATGTTTGGATCACTATTTGTAGAGTACCACAAATGTTACTTCAATGGATTTATAGTCTCTGCTTTTTTATAGTATTACTTTTAATATGTCAATAGTGAAACACCTCCTTGGTTTGCATTTATATATAATGAAATAACAGCCATACATTATTTAACTGTGGAAGGGCATTGTTCACTTTATTAATGTACCTGGAAATGGCTTACTTGAAAAGGTCTTTTGTTGGCTTGAAGGTCACCATGCCTCAACTTTCATACCTGACACATAATTAGCACATTTGTGCATTATTTGAAAAGGGCAGCAGTTTCTGTGCCCCTCTCCCCACCTCCCAAGCCCCACTCACAGAAAGTGAAATTCAGCAGCCTAATTGCCTTGATATGTTTTATAATAATTTGCACTGAACTTGCAGAAAATATCTACCTGTAAATCTGGGCACTGTTTGTTTTAAGTAAAAAAAATTAAAAATTAGTGGCTCAATTTTTTGGTCAAATCGGATGAATGATGTTTAATCCAGTTTAAAAATTACAGAAAGGCGTCATATAGACATTTTTTTACTTTATTTTTTAATGCATCTTCTTTCTCTCTTTTCCCCCTTTTAAAAACACACATTCTCGTTCTGGACATTTGATGGCCACAATGTTTATCTCGGTGCTTACTGTAAGCCAATTCAGTGACTAACATAACATGGAAATCATCCTAAACACAAAGTTTCTATTTACATCAGCAGGCTTAAGTTTTATAAAACTCTCAATTGAAAATACAACACAACTAAAAGTTTTCTACTCAATTAATGATCATATTATCATGCTTGCTTTCTTCCTTTAGTCAGATATATCTGAACCACCCCTTACCAGAACTGCTCTGTGTCAGGTAAACTTTCTAGATAACTAAGTACTATTTTCAGATTAAGGCAGGTGGAGTTTTGGTGATATTTTATACAAACAAATTTGAAATTATAATATAGCTGGTATTCTTTGACAAAACAGAAAAAGTTAAGTGATAGAAATAAACTCTCTTTACATTTCTAACTTGAGTGATTTGTGACATATTTTCCAAGGTCACATCAATGTCAATGAAATGAAATGAAATGGAAATGGAAGCCAAATGTAAATGAAAGCCAAAATGTCTTCTAACAGTATTCCTAAGCTCCGTGGGGCTCTTCCGGCAGTCAATTGTGCTCCCAAGCACAGTATGAAGCCTCCCCCCTACCGGTCAAAGAAAGCAGCATGCAGACAAAATATTTTGTAAAATAGTTTGATATATTTGGACATCTGGCATCTTTTGTATATCTAACTTTGACAATGTTTCAAAAGTCTGTGTAAAGTTTCTTATTCAAGAGACCGTTGTCGAAAGTTTCTGCCCACTAAGGGAAATTAGGAACAGGAAGGTTTTGGGGACAAACAGACCTGGGTTTAAACATCGTTCTCACAATTAATAAACTTTTTGATCATCAGCAAAATGTTAACTTCTCTGAGTCTATTTTGTCGCCTGTAAATGGGTATGATAAGACCTACCTCACTGGACTGCTTTGAGGGTGAAATGGGATGGTGTGTGGAGATGACCTGCCACCAGTAGCCCTGATGATGTATAATTTTTTTTCCAACTCATCTATTTCTCTACTAATGGGGAAAGAACATCCAATGTCTAAACACGTTTTATAGAATTAAAACTTTAGGAACCTAAAGAAATTTGGCAAAATATCTATACTGAGCCACAAACTCAAATGTTTTCAGGACCCATGCAAGGAATACAAACAGAGTCTAGATGTAACTAAGTGGCTGGGCTGGGGTGGAAGGTCCCCAGGCAAACATGAGTGTGTATGCCCTACCTAAAGGCATTAGAACTCATTAAAACAAGATGAAATAAAAGGAAAAACTCACCGACTTGACCAAACTAACAGTCTACTGGTTTACTTTAGTTCATAGGTCACCAGTTTGTGATCTCTGACCCCATTCTCTAATCCTTTATTGTACAGATAGGAAAACAAAGTCAAACAGGGAGAAGAAACCTCCTCAAACCATCAAATGACCGGGAGACTACTAACCAGGGATATGTATGTGCTCTTTATGCCACTCTGAATTATAGTATTGACAAAGGTTCCTGCATTGAAATGAGTGACCAGACTTTTCATTGATATTGTGCTATATTCTTAACCCAGTCCAAGAAAATCAAAGTCTGAATTATCCTAACTAAATGGGACCAAAGGCACTCAGGGAAATTCACAAGTTTATTAAAAACAAAAGGCTGGAACTCAATGTTCTCTCATTTTTACAAAAGACAATTATATCATTAAAATCATTACTGATACTGTAATAATTGCAAAATTAAATTTAAAAAATCTTCAAAGAGGGACATATTGTCATGTTACTGAGAGGGGAGTGATTTTTTTTACATCAGTACGTCTCTCGGGAGCCTCTCTTCTTCTCACTAGTCCTTCTGCCCTCTAAGATGTATGTCCCATTCCAGACCCTTTAAACCTGACTAAATGTACTGCCCTATCAGGTCTTTAAAAAAAAGTTGTAGACAACAAGGCCTGGCCAGCTCCTGAACTAATTCACATTTATTATCATCCTATTGATGTTTGTTTTCCTCTTCCTGGGTCCTAGTTCAAGGTCTGTATGTCAATTTTGTATGTTCTTGTCCTCCTGGACCTTGGTTCTTCCTTTTCTCCTGGCGTAGAGCATGTCTTAGGTGAGAAAGTCTCTGTTCTGAAACCTGGCTTTGTAGAACCCCGCCAGCTAGGCTAGTGCTGTCCCTCACTCTCCACCAAGGTCAGGGCCATATTTGACCCAAAAGAATGACTCACTAATGGTAGAGCCAAGGATAGTTATAAAAAAGATATTTGGGGATTGAAGATTTTCTCAATGACCTTTCAATCAGTGTACCATGCTACAGGCTTAACTCTGCTCTTCATCATTACTTTGTACTGATCTGGTAAAGAGACTATATTTTAAAAGTATTGAATACCAGAGAATGCTATATTTTAACATTCTAATATCAAGTTTTATTAGGAATCGCAGGAGCACTAGTTGTCTTCTCAGTCATCGTAGACAACTGAAACGCTATCGTTGCCAGGAATAAGCTCACTGTTTGGACAGCTGCTCATCATACATCATTCATCTGCCAGTAAGGAGTTCTCACACAGATAGCTATCTGTGATACGATTTCTCAAGAACATGAAGTGAACTTTGATGTTTGGTGAGATTTCCACTGTCACACATTCGTTGTTTATATATAATTCACATAATTGTAATATCATCTAACTGCGTATCCTGGCTTTCAATGAGGGAGAAAGGTCGCTGTCTCATTTTCATTCAGATGGTCATGCAACTCCCGCGTAAACACTTTCAGACACAGAGAATTCAATGTTTTGCAGGGCAGCCCGTTCCCTTTGCAGGGTAGTCCAAAGGTACTTTGCAGGATAGTCCAAGATAAGAAGTTCTTCCTTACAATGAGGTGAAATCTTTCTCACAACAACTTTCTCACAGTGGTCATAGAATCCAGAATGTCAAATACCTTTAATAATAGAAATAAGGTTGGACCCATAGAAAGTCCATATTAGTAATCTTCAATGGATGGCATAAATTAGATGATGAGCATAATAGAATCACCAGTAAATAGCTATTGAAAAGAAAACTCCATGTTCCTTCTGCCAAGATATTCTAATCTATTCAGTCTGTCTACAGGTGGAAGTTAGTGGGATATAAAGTATGTTTAATTTAATTTTTAAAAGTTCCCCAGGTGGGTTTGATATAGCACCCTCCACACACACAGAACACGCATATAAACATTTGGCCGGTAGGTTGATTTTCATTTGTTAGGACAGATACTACATTTGAAGATTAATGTTAAGGGGCAAAAATCTACATGAGGTATGACCTGAATATACATGGAATAGGAAGTCAGAGAAAAGACTTCACAAATTAGAGACAAGAAATAATGACATATTACAATAAGAGAAACAGT